AGATGGAATATTACACAGCCATAAAGAAGGACAAAACTATGAGCTTCGCAGTAACTTGGATGGACTTAGACTCTATAACACTGAATGATATATCACAGAAACAGAGAACTGAATATTACATGTTCTCACTCATAAGTGGACCTTGAACAATTATCATAATACTATAAAGGAAAGGATTGGCATTAGTAGGAAATTGCTGGTGGGGGGGGCAGGTACCTCATCAACAAGGGTACTTGCATAATGAACATTTGTATAATTACCCCTAAATTGTACACTACATCTTTATATTAAAAATTTTTTGAAAAGAAACTTATGACATTTTATTAAAAAAGGTGGATGGGCTCAGTGGTTGAGAGGCAGGATCTGATTCCAGATCTGCTCTCTGCTAGCTGGAAAAACTTGGAAAAGGTAAGTACTCCCCATGTGTGGGGAGACAGCAGTACCACCTCCTGCACAGGATTGTCTTAAGAATTTTATACCCATAACTCATGTAGTCCCCTCAATAACCCCATCAGAACTCTGGTATTGATATCATGCTCATTTTCTAGACACGGTGTGCAAGGTCATGTCTGGACATTGACTCTTTTCCCCTATACCTGGCTTGTCACTGCCCTCTCCCCAGGGAGCAGCCTCTAGCCAAGGCTGGCTTCTGAAAAATAGCATATTCCCAGTAATGAGTCATAGAATCCAGGCAAACAAGCAAAGCTGAAAGCAATGTGGTCATCGCGTGTACACAAAGTATTGTGAACACTGGACAGGAATTTGATTAACTGACTTGCTTGACTATAAAACTTTTTGCTGACCAGCCTGGTTAACTTGGCGAGACCTCATCTCTATAAAAAATCAAAAAATTAGCCAGGCGTGGTGGCATTCACCTGTGGTTCTAGCTACTTGGAAGGCTGATGCAGAAGGATCGCCTGAGCTCAGCATGTCGATGCTGTAGTGGCTGTGAGCATGCCACTGCACTCCAGTCTGGTGACAGATTGAAATTCCAACTCAAAAAAAAAAAAAAAAAAGCTGCTTCTGTACTGTCCCATGATGCAGATTCTTTCTTCACCAGCCGGCTGCCATCAGTGCCTCCTGTAAGTTCTAATAAACCAATGTTTCTCAGTGACAGATCACCAGGTGACTTCTTTGGAACAGACACAGAACCTTACGCACATGCCCTCCCAGATTTGGCACTGCCACATTACAAATGGCATAGTTGGGCAGGATATTCCAGAGAAGCCCCCACTGTAACAGCCAAGGAAAGATAGTAGGAGGAGGAACGTCACTGGGGGATGTCCCAAGGTTGGCCCCGGTACTAAGTTGCCAGCTTGGTAAATAGCTGGGGGCTTCCACGTAAGTAGAAGGACACCTAAAAATGCCAGCCAGCTGCTGGAATTATTGAAAGCAGTTGATGAGAAGGGGCAATTTCCAAAGGAAAAAGATAACTGTGCATGGCCTCTGCTTGTGCTCTCCGAGTGGCTACCGAGGAGCAGGAGACGGCCACGAGGAGCCAGGTGCAGATATTGCAGGAGTTAAAATTTGAAAGAGACGCTCCGTTCTACTTGGTCAACTCAGGCAGAAAGCAGAATACCTGTGTATCCTCACTAGTAGGTGAGACAGTTTAGAGGGCAGCATAGGCGATAGCGCACCTGGGAGAAATGGATTTGATTAGACAGACACAGGGAATTGGAAAGGTGAAAGAGGATCCTACAAAGGTAACCCTTCAACAAATGTGAGCAGATTTAATTAAGGCAGGGGTGGATCCTAACAAGATAGATTTAATCCTTTGCATTCAGAGAATCTCAAGAACACCTACCAGCAACTTGACTGCAATTTTTACAAAATAGTGAAAAATGAATCTTTCATATTAAATAGTATAGCATTGGAACCAGTTACTTTATTGTAACAATATTTGGCTTATAACAGAATTTTGGACATTGAAGAACTTATTTATGACCAAAAAATCAAAATTTTATATCTTATATTATTCTAACATGCATGTGAAATAATTACCGCCATGCATTGCAGGTTCATAGATACATGCATTGCAATAGTAATTTGTTGGATGTCTTCCATCTGGTGTTTTTCTATTGGAGCAGACAATATAGTCTCATTTTCTTCCTCCCACATTAATAATATATAATTTATTGTCTGTTTTTCAGAAATGATGTGGAAGGACATTCTCTTTCTACGTAATGGCAACTGATTTTTTTTTTTTTTACATATATCTCAGTATAAATTCCATCTCTTTATTTGCTTTTTCGTGCAATTTGAATGGAAAACTTCAAGGAAACATACATTTTTTAAAAAATGTGAACTGGCATAAGTTTGTCCTGTATAATCACCAGCAATCTCTTTATGTTCTCTGAGAGGTTTGCTAGATTACAATGTCCCCTCAGAGAGGAATTCGAGTGCAAAGGGTTAAATAAGCAACCCAACATGGTATTGGTAGAATTATGGGAGCAACTCCCCAAAGAAAAGCACTACCAACCTATCTTGAAAAAGAGAACTTAGGTCCGGGTACTAGAGTGAACCCCCAATAAAAAGGGAGGTTCCCCCTCAAAGAAAGAGCAAGCAGGCAGGCAGCTGCAGGGCAGACTCGGAGCACGAGGGGTACCTAGAGGCCAGTCGTGGTCAGCGCCACCTCCTTGCAGCCAAAGGGCAGAGCTCATATGAGCCCTAGGTTGGAATACACACTGAGTCTTGGTTTACTGCTGGAATTTTTTTGCTGTTGGCTAATGCTTTCTTTAGTGTTGATATTCACACAGATTGTCAAGACCAGTTCACATTCACCTCAGAAGAAAGACAATGGTGCTGTTGCTGGAGTACTTGTACAGCCCTACATGGTCACTCAAGATTCAGAAAGTCGGAGGCGACCTGTATCAGTGTCTTCTTTTCACTGTATAGATGATGTCTGATTCTCTTACAGACCTAGAGCAGGCAGTACCCATTGGATGAACATTTGCAGGAGAAAGGATCATCAGCTATACTGATAATTTTCAGGATTTCCCCCTCACCCCCCATTGCCTAAAACAGCTGCAGGAATTTGGGGGCTTGTTGGGGTACTAGAGGGCATTTTTCCCACATTTAGCACAGATAGTATGAACCTTGTATAGACTGACCAAGGGGATCCCACTGGGACAGGGGAGTGCCAACAGGCATTCATGCTGCCAAAAGTGCTGTGGCCACTGTCCAGGCATTGGGCCTTCTAAACCAAAACCTTCCCTGTGAATTGGATGTAAATGTTACCCAGGAGCGACATGCTTGGGGGTATGGCAGCAGCAGGGGAAAGCTCGACTTCCCATTGGCTTTTAGTTGCAGACCTGGAAAGGCACCAAAGACCACTACAGCCCCATCAAACAGCAGGTCAACACAGTATACCAAGCTCCTTTGGCAATGGAGCCAAATAATTGGACAAGCCCCAGTAACTGTGCGCACTGTCCTGTCAATGGCAGCAGGCAGTCAGTGGGCAGAGTTATGGGCAGTGTAGTTGGTGATATCTGAAGAGCCAGGCCCATTCACAATCTGCAGAGACAGTTGGGCAGTTCAAATGACTGACACTGTGGATGCCACAATGGCACCAGGAACAATGGACAATTATGAACAAGCCCCTGTTTGGCCAAGATATGTGGCAATACTCACTGCAGGAGTGAACAACCCAATACATGAAGCAACTGCACTTCAATGGGAAACCCTGTGCTGGCCATCCAGTACCCCTGGACATGCTGACACAACTGTGGGCAACACCCCCAAGGATACAAATCCAGATGCAAGACCCAGCCCTGCAACCAACCTGGGGAAGTGGGAATAACCTGTTGTTGGCCATCCCACAAGACATAATACCCAGAGAGAATACTCCCATCGCCCCTGGGATGTTCAATCTGAACCCCATTGGTGCTCCCTGCTTACTCCCTGGGAAGAGGGAAGAAATTAAAATCTAGAGGGCCATCCTTCAGTTATGGAAAGATGGACAAATACTGTGAAGAGTAACAACCCTGGGCCCCAAATACTCAAAAGAGGGACTATTAATCACTTCTATGTGGCAGTTAAGAACACCCCAATGTCCTTTCATGCCATGGAAAAGAGGGTTCCCAGGCCTGACTGGGCACAGTATTCCAGGCATGGAAGATCTCCCCAGAGTGGCACAGTGCTGTCATGGGACGGGAATGGTGCTTGCATTTTACCTGATAATAGGGATTTGCCTTTGCTTCTTCCTCTCAAGTACCTATTTTATCACGTTTGGCCTAAGACCTTTTCTATCACTAAGTTTTTTCTTTTTGGCAAAAGGTTCATAGGTGTTATCATTTTGCAATGATATAGGTGTAGCAATATTGCTGTTCAGATCCAGTGCCCTTTATTGCACACACAGGATATGGATGCCATGTATGACTTGTGTTTCCACCTAAGGGATCTTGCATGACATGACATGGAGAAAATGTTATCTTTCAGAATTCCCCTTGGGAAGAACACTACATTTGACTGAAATAAATATATTTAAAGCCACTAAAATCTTTTAAATTAGCAGATATTAATTTTATAATATAAAATTGTTTTAATAAACATTTAGGAAACACTAACATATTTGGATGTAAAAGTCTACTTCATTCATCAAATATTTATTGAGTGCCTAATTGCCTAATTTAACTTCGGGTGCTAATCTGAGATACAAGGTTAGTACTGTTTATAAGACAGAACTCAAATTTACCAAGGATTCTTCATGACTTTTTGCTTTCCACAGTTAAACAAATTCACTAGGTCATCAGATGGGAAAACAAAAGGAGTGATTTTACAAACTTCATTTGGAGTACATAGCCAAACCAATAAGTAAGAAAAGTCTGACTTGATGACAATATTCCAAGTAATTAATGACCTTCATAGACTGCACATTTAAAAAATTATATACATTAATTCTGAAACTATATGAAATAATTTTAAGACAATCATAAAATTATCCAGTAATTTTTACAGAAAAAGTAATTCAACTAATTATGATTTTGCTTTTTGAGACTCACCTAACAGGACAAATCCATCTGCTTCTGTCTCTGGTACTGAGGGCTTTTTAGACTCCGGAGGCTTCCTGAAGAAGTGAAACATTGCTGCTGCTGTTTCTGATGCTATCTGAAATACAAACACTATATAATGTCAAATTCAGATGAAACTGAAAAACTCTTACCCTTTCTAGTAAGAAAAGGTATCTTCTTAAAATTTTTTTATTTTAAAGATGTGGGGTACATACAATTCAGGGTTAGGTATACAAACACCGATTATGCAGGTACCCTTGTTGATGAGGTGTGCCCCTCCATCCCCTAGCAGTTTCCCTCAACTGCCAATCCCACCTCCTTTCTCATGGCAGTTTCCCACTACTGCCAATCCCTTTCTTACAGTATTATGATAATTGCTCAAGGTTCGCTTATGAGTGAGAACATATGATACTCTGTTCAAGAAAAGTTATCTTAACATAAAGCTATCACTATAATTACTTTTAGGAATTCTACTGCGAGCCTTACAACCATGAGTCTTCTCTAGGTGTCAGAAAACAAAGCTAGAAATTAAGGTCCACACTGAAACTTCCTCATTTTCTGAAGATTCAGAGAATAATCCAAGAAATCACTGCACGTAAAACTAAAATCAACAGATAACACCAGAATCTAAAAAGCTCTTGCTAACTCTAAAACAGATACTGGTTTGGGGAATGGAAAAAAGGAAAATCCTGCCCAGGTTTCTTGTCATGCCATAAGTACCTTAAGCTTCAGAAAACTAACACCACCTGACAAAAGAAAGAAAATCGCTTCAAACATCTCTACAGATGGTTATCTGACTAGACACCCAAGTATTATACCCTTATAGAACTGTAGCCAACTTTAAATGGCTGTCAGGGAAGGTCTTTGTATTGGTGAGATTACTGTGCATTGCCCCCAACACACACACACACACACACACACACACACACACACACACACACACACACACACACACACAGCCCTCTCTTCCCAGTATTCTCATCCTTGTACATTCAAGTCAGGGCAACAATGTCTAGAAAACAACTGTGAAGAAAGTCAAAGGGTACTTGCAAGGACACATTATATAAAATCCAACTCACATAAGTGTGAAGGGCTCCTGGTCTCAGTCTGGCACTGACATGAATTGATGTATATTAAGCTGTACTCTTTACTAGCCACATAAACTCGAACTGATAGTTAGCCTACTATTTTGCTTCAATTCTTTCACTTACACAACATGAATAATTGTGTATTCCTGGTGGGGTTATTGCAAAAAGATTCTAGGAGACAGAGTATACTGTAGTCCCCCTCTTATCCATGGTTTTGGTTACCCATTGTCAACTGAGGTCCAAACATAGGTGAGTACATACAATAAAATATTTTAAGAGAGTGCAATAATTTTTATTACTGTATATTGTTATAATTGTTCTATTCTATTATTAGTTACTGTTGTTAATCTCTTACTACACCTAATTTATAAATTAAACTTTATCATAAGTATGTATAGAAAGCTCTCAATGCCATGGATAGGTTCTTAGAAACTGCAATTTTAAGTGAAACAATGTATAATGAAATCAGTTATCCCATAGGCTAATTGATAGAAGCAAGAGTTGAATTCTTACAGCATTTTTCTGGTCACAAAAACTTCTCCAACTTCTAAAACCTTTCTAATATTTCTAAAAACCTTTCTAATATTAAACATTGAAATAAATGTGAGATATGCATATATTTTTAAAAGATTAATAAAAGCAAGTAAGACAATCATTTATTAAATTATTCCAGTTCAGAGTTTAGGGTAGCCAGAGCCTATTCCTGAAGTTCAGGGCAGAGTAGGAACCCACCTTGGCCAGGACACCAATCACAGAACACACAGACACACACACACTCAGTGGAGGACAGTGTAGATACACAAATAAACCTAATGTGCACATCACTGAGATGTGGAAAGAAACCAGAGGACCCAAATGAAACTTGCACAGACATGGGGAGGATACACATACTCCACACAGATGGTGGCTCTGGCTGGGAATATTTTTTTCCCTCATCATTATAACTGAACAATGTATAACAAAATGACATTGAATGAAATATCATTTGGGGACCTGCTATATTAGGAAAAACAAAGCATATGGAGGGCTTGTAGCTATCCTTGGTTCCAGACATTTACCAACAGGGGGTCTCGGAATGGATCCACTATGGATGACAGGAGATGATCTCATAAAGCATGTTGGTGTCATGTCCGATATGCTGCAGAGACTCAGTGAACATTAGTGGCATTTGTAGTTACTCTCCTTTCCAGTTACTGGTCTCAGGCAGGGTGACAACATCTGGTTGCTCCCCCCACAGAGGAGAGATCACCGAAGTTAGTTGTCTGCCACCTTCTCTGCCCCCAGGGTAAATTTTACACCATTGTGTGTTTTTGAGTAATATTAACAGAACATTATAAGATAATCTGGTTGCAGACTTTAGTGTTTTAGCACATGTTCTTCTTTTATGGAGAGATTACTCCAAAGACACATGGTTAGACTGATCTTAGGTACCCAGTGGAATGAATCATTAAGGTCAGCAGCAGTACTGGTCATACCAGGGAGCCATAGCAGTGGAGTGACAGAAATGGGGTTGGCTAATACCTTGGTAACAATTTCAGAGCTGTTTCCAATGGAGTCACTTCCATTCTCAGTTATTCTCTATAGTCTCTGCTCTCCTTGCCTTATTCTGGACTTGTTTCTTCCATGCTGGAAGTTTCTTGACTCTTGGAACCTAAATTATCCCTCCTCTTCTGATATGTCTGACATATTGTAATGTTCTGATGTTCTCAAGTGACAGACTGCAATTTTATGCTTTGCCAGTAAGTCATATGACCCAACAAACTGCTGCAGCCAGCATGTTGTTTAAATTTGGTGTTTGAGGTCATGAAGAATTTAAATGCTTCACTTAATGACTTAAGTAGTAGATTCTATACAAAATACTTGGGTTAAAAAGAGATTCTTTTATTGAACTCTGCCTGAGTTTGGTCTGGCTATTTGTAACAACACATCTAGACTTTCAGGGTTTGAGAATGACTTGACAGAACTACTTTTGTGGTACCCATGTTTGTTTCATTTCTATTTCGTAGCCAGACATAAAAAGGCATTGGAAATTTGAGTCCTTCTATTAAAAGGCTGTTTTATACTTTAAAGGGCCTCTCCTTGTCCACATAATTCCCTGTTGTAATGGTACTTGACAGTGAACAAAGCAAGTCACATAGCCACACCTAACTCTAGGGAGGGTGGGAACACCCTCCCATCATGCCTCCAGAGAGCAGAGCCAGCAGACAGCCCTAAGGACTCCATGATTCTTATTTGTGTTCACTGTAGGCAGATCTCGTCCCTGCCAAAAGCAGAACTCACCTATCCACGAGCAGTTGCTCTTATTGCCCATGCAGGCATAATTGCATGTTCCAAGTTCAGTGTCTTGGGAGATGTACAAGAGTCTCTTCCTCAGGTCCAGATGTAGCACTTCTTGGTCTGGAGACTTCATGAACTAAAAAGAGAGGCCATCTGTCCCTTTTGTTCCCTCACATGCTAATGGAGCTGGAGCAGATAAACGCCCCCAAATACTCTCATCCAGAAGGGGAGGAATGGGAGATTGGCGCAGTCAAGAGCTATAGAGCCGGGCTCGGTGGCTCAGCCTGTAATCCCGCGCCTTTGGGAGGCTGAGGTGAGTGGATTGCCTGAGCCCGAGGGTTCGAGACCGGCCTAGGCTGGCGAGACCTCATCTCTACAATAAATCAAAAAATTAGCTGGGTGTGGTAGTACGTGCCAGTAATTCCGGCGACTCGGAAGGCTGAGGCGGAAGGATCGCTGGAGCCCAGCAAGTCGAGGCTGCGGTGGCCGGGAGCGGCCACTGCACTCCAGTCTGGGCAACAGAGTGAGACTCCAACTCAAAAAAAAAAAAAAAAAGAGCTGTAGCAACTCTGCAGTTCCCCTGAGTAGGATTTTGGGGAACCCTTATCTTGGGTTGGAGAATGTTCCTTAATTATGTCCAGATCCTGCTTCCTGGAAGAAGATCTCTGCCCTCTTTTTCTAGTAACTTCCTTCGCTACAAGGGAAAGGAGCACTGGAGAATAGGCCCTCTTGCAGGCTGAGCAGTTTTCCCTGGCAGTTTCTTGTCCACAGAAAATTGGCATCCAAGGGTCATTTTAACTATTCTGTAGCCAGAGTCCTCTTTATTCCAGACTGGCAGTTATTTCTGCAGTACAGCTCTCAAAAAAATGTGTTTGGCATCTTATCTATTTAACTTCAGTGAGCTTCATGTGTAATGGCTAGACCTAAAATTTTTGCTAGATATAATTCTTAGATTTTGTGTTTTTCAGCTTTGTCAGTTCTATGCATGTCCTCCTTTCCACTTTATCTGAGAGTATCTTGGCTCTATAAGGTTTCAGCTAGAGACCTACACCTTTAGTGTCTTTTTCCTGAACCATTTTATCCAAACAGCAACGTTAATTCACGCTGAGGTTTTAATACCAGGTGTGGTAGTTATACCCCTGGTTTGATCTTTATCTGAGGATGAGTTTTAATCATCTGTTGTTGCTTCAAAGCTTTCTCAGTTTAATTTTAACTGTTTAATTTTAACTGTTTGGGGATAAGAAGTAGTTGCTTCTTCCAATCTTATAAGTCTTTGAATCCGCACTCTCCTCTTACATTCCTGCTTGCAAGCCAACTATTTCTTTTCTGATCTCACTTCTTCCTTGTGTGGGCTTTTCTTTACCTTATTCAGTTACTTTTTTCATCTGATTCCTTGTCTTTCTTCCTTTTCCTTTTGTTTTTTCATCCAATCTTGTTGTTCGCCAGTTTTACAGAGGCCATGTCTCCTTGTGCTCTATAGAGGTGCCAAATTATTTTCAGGTTTCTCTTTTGGATTCATTACTATATCCAGTAAGCTCCTTTGAGGATTTCAGTGTCTGTTCTTTTTCCTTTACTAGAATGTTCTTTTTCACATGGCTTGTGTTTTTCTTCTCCATTTTTTAGTCCTTTTTAAAAGTGAAATCTGCCATACATGTTTTCTATCAATACATAGGTTCCTTTTACCATCACTTATGTTGGGGTTAATATCCTTCTTAGAACTACAACTGAGATC